GCTGGGGATGGCTGCAGGTCAAGAGTCAGGGACACCGGTAGAGCCAAGGGGATGTGGGTTGACAGTGAGAAGCACTGGCAGGGCCAAGGGGCTGTGGGTTGAGAATGAGGGGCACCAGCGGGGCTGTGGGTTGGGAGTGAGGGACTGGCAGGGTCAGGGGGCTATAGGCTGGGAATGAAGGGCACCAGCAGAGCTGGGGGTGGGGGGCTATGGGTTGGGAGTAAGGGGCACTGGCAGGGTTGGGAGGCTGTGGCTTGGGAGTGAGGGGCAACAGCACGGGCAAGGGCAGGGCACCATCGTATCAGAGCTATTTCCCCCTCAACTACTCTGTGATTGTGCTGTATGAAGAGGTGCTCAGAACAGCCGATGTCAGTAGGCTGGTGCATGGGTGACTGGTGCCTCCTGAGTCTGGGGGGGGGCACTTGCCCTCACAGCAATCAGCGCTCTCGGGGGGGGGGGGGGCACCAGCACTCTCACCTGCCCCCCCTGCCTGTCACCTAAGTGAGCAACGCTGCTGTCAGGGTTGCACCAGTGCTCTCAGGGGGTGCACATACATCCCCATGCACCCGCTATGCATTGCCACTGGACTGGTGAGAAGTTGGCTGCTGCTTCCAAGATGCCTTTCCTGTCTTTGTGTAGTTTGTCATTAAGTGCCAACACCTCCTTGGGTGCAGCACTAATGCCCACTTTGGACTCTTTTTAATGACTCTTGCCTGCGGAAGACCCATTTTGTCAGTCCCAGAGGCTGTGTATTCCAGGCCTGCACCACATGGTCATGGTTGGTAGATCTGCCCATGCCAGACCCGGGCAGGTAGAGCTCCCACAAGTGTCAAGAAAGTCTGTGGGTAGGGGTTGTGGCAGGCCAGCAGGGGGTGCTTCTGCCCTGAGCCACTCGCCTCACTGTGCCTGACCAAAAACCAAGCTCTGAATGCCTCCACTGGGGCACCTCACATCTGGCCCATCCCCTTCCTGGAGCACACCCACAAGCCTGGGGTAACTGCTGCCGTCACCCAGGGGTCTGGTCTGTATTTGGGCCCTGTGCCTCCTGGGTACACAGGCCTTGTATACCTTGAAGGTGCTTGACCCACTGCGAGAACTTGGGATGCTTCCTTAAGCCTGAAGCATGGAAAGTAGCCTCCCTTAGTCAGCCAAGTATAGGGAGCATAAAGGCATGCCTCTCCCAGTAAATACCACTGAGCTTGTTATAGTGGAGAGCTTTATTGGTTAAAGAGGGTAGGCTTGGGGAACAGTACAGGTTAGAGAAATGTCAAAGAATAACCCAGAGTAAACAGTACAGCTTGCTAGTCTTCTGTTACGCTTCTACATTACGGTAAGCTATATTTCTAGATAAGTTTCAGGTAAGTTACTCTCAAGTATTATCCAGAGGCTGATTGAGCTTCCTCTGGAGGCAGACAGTTCATTGTGTCAGTGAGTTTCCAGATGCCTTTCCCAAGATGGAGGGACCCTCAAATAATCTTTATGACCTCACCTTCCAGGCCCAATCAAAGGCAGGTGTTGTTTGATGTTGACCAACCTGTTTAAAAAGCAGCATGGTCATCTAAGGGTGTGACATGGCTCAAGTCCATGCCACCATGCCAGTGATTAAAACAATAGAGACAAGATTCACTCCCCCTGTACCTGCTTCAGGTCACACAGCCATAACCTGGGGCAACCAGCTTGACAGACAGGTGAGGAGACAATGACAAAGGGAAAAAAAACTAATAGAAGAGACTGGGATGGAATTCTTCCACGGGGTAGGGCTGCTGTGCGCTTGGGCTCTGCATTGGGTATTTATGAAACCAGCTCTTCTGCAGGTTCTCACTGCATCTGAGTGGGGAATGAACAACCTGTTTACTAACCCTGATCTCTGGAGTTCTGTAATCTGGGGGCTGGCTGTCCTTATTTCCACACTGGGAGCCAGCTGCCAAAGCTGGACATGGGGGTGAGAGGTGCATTCAAAAAGCAAGTTGGGGCATTAGGAGGAAGATTGGCACCTACCCGGTCATTAGTGCTACAGGCTGCCACATCCCCAACTCTCATTTGGTGCTAAAAAGACCCAACCCGGGTGTGGTGAACTCAGCCCTAGGTGGGACAAAGGCAAGCTGCTGAGGTCCTGACAGCTGGTAAAGCTCCTGTAAGGTTTGCACATGGAAGAGGTGTCAAGTTTGCAGTGTCCCGATTCCTAGTGCCCTTTGCTCTTCCCACACAGTTTGTAGGTAGCCCAGGAGTGAAAAGAAACCAAAACCCAAGCTGCATTGGCCGGGAATCGAACCCGGGCCTCCCGCGTGGCAGGCGAGAATTCTACCACTGAACCACCAATGCTCCAGCTGTGCAAACCTCCTCACAACATCTGGCTAAGTCCTGCACAAAGCTCTTTTTTCTGCTCTTCTCTATGTATCTGCTAGCTTACACCCTTCTCCCTTTCCCAACCGCTTGGAAGGGAAACAGCTGGGCAGCCACATCAGCACAAGGGGCCGGGCCAGCTCTGGGCTGAGGCACCCACGGGAGGGGATCCAGCTGCTGGCAGGGCAGCACAGGGCAGGAGCACGCAGCTCTGCCCAACCTACGGCTGCCCTGTGGCCCCGGGCCCCGTCACCCCCCGGGAGCCTGCTGCCCTCTTGCCCTGACCAGGACCTGATGGGAACCCACCCTGCCGCGCCAGGAGTGACTGCCTGCGCTTTGTCCCCCCTGGCACAGGCCGAGCACCCAGGCAGAGGGGGCCAAGCTGCCAGCCTCTGATGCTAAAACCACATCACCTGCCCCGGAGCAGCGCCTCCAGACACTCAGCCTCCAACCCGAGAGCTGGCTGCCCGGGCAGGGCTGTAAAGAGTCAGCCTGGCAACGGAGTGTGAGCCGCTTCTCACCAGCCTGCTGACATTGGATGTCCTGAGCACCTCTTCATATTGCACAGTCACGGTGTAGTTGAGGGGGAAATAGTACTTCTGGAAAGGCAAACAAAGACAGGGCAGAGATCACGGGTCTCCCCTCCCCGACCTTCATGGGCTGGGCTGGGGCAGTTGACCTAGCGATGTTCCTCCCTGCATCCAAATTTGCAGCCGTGAAATCATGTGCCAGGTGTCCCTGTGCTGTATGTGGTGCTCGGGAGGGTGAGCATCGACTAGTAGGTGGGCATCAGGGGAACTACTGGCTGCTGAGCACCTCAGAAAGCTGGGCACATACTAGGGGCTGCCTGCACCGTCCGGAGAGGCCGAGTGCCTGGAGGCGCTGTCCCGGGGCAGGTGATGTGGTTTTGGCATCAGACGCTGGCAGCTTGGTCCCTCCGCAGGTGCGGGGCAGAGCTGCCAGTGCGTGGGTGCTGCTGCCCTGCCAGCAGCTGGATCCCCTCCCGTGGGTGCCTCAGCCCAGAGCTGGCCCGGCCCCTTGTGCTGATGTGGCTGCCCAGCTGTTTCCCTTCCAAGCGGTTGGGAAAGGGAGAAGGGTGTAAGCTAGCAGATACATAGAGAAGAGCAGAAAAAAGAGCTTTGTGCAGGACTTAGCCAGATGTTGTGAGGAGGTTTGCACAGCTGGAGCATTGGTGGTTCAGTGGTAGAATTCTCGCCTGCCACGCGGGAGGCCCGGGTTCGATTCCCGGCCAATGCAGCTTGGGTTTTGGTTTCTTTTCACTCCTGGGCTACCTACAAACTGTGTGGGAAGAGCAAAGGGCACTAGGAACCGGGACACTGCAAACTTGACACCTCTTCCACGTGCAAACCTTACAGGAGCTTTACCAGCTGTCAGGACCTCAGCAGCTTGCCTTTGTCCCACCTAGGGCTGAGTTCACCACACCGGGGTTGGGGCTAAAGGGAAGTTGGGGGTGTGGCAGCCTGTAGCACTAATGACTGGGTAGGTGCCAATATCCTCCCAGCGAACCAACTTGTTCTTTCAGCTAAATGAGTCTTGATCACTCCATATCATGTAAAATTCTGGAGACTTTCCATGAGAGTTAAGGAATTTTTCATAGATTTCATAGACATTAGGGCTGGAATGGAACTTGCAAGATCATCAGGTCCAGTCCCCTGCCCCAGGGGCAGGAAGTCTACTGGGGTCAAATGATCCCGGCAAGATAAGCATTCAAGTGTGTTTTAAAGGTGTCCAGAGTAGGTGCTTGCACCACTTCTGCAGGTAGTCTGTTCCAGACTCTGGTGACTCATACAGTAAAGACGTTTTAAATGTCCAACTTAAAACAGTCTTCCCAGAGTTTGTGACCATTAGACCTAGTCTTCCTTTGGGGTGCCCGGGTGAACACATATTTTCCCAGTTCCTGGTGCACACCCCTAATATACTTATAGGCCACCATCAAGTCTCCCCTGAGCCTACGCTTTTCCACGCTGAAGAGTCCCATGCCTCTCAGCCTCTCCTCATAACGCCTGTTCTCTTGTCCTCTGATCATGTACATGACTCTCGTCTGGACTCTCTCAAGATTCTCCACATCCTACCTAAAGTTCAGAGCCTGGACAAGGAGCCTGGACAAATTATCTCATGAGCCTGGGTTTCCATTCCACTTCCACTGGGTTTGTCTGAATTATTATCATTATTTAATCTTCCTTGATATGAGAGTTGGTGACATAATAAACCAGCTCTCCCCATACTTGTGTAGTCCTTTCTAACTTTGCTGTCTGATCAGTCCCTTATTCCATCCTCTCTACTTCCTTTATCCAGGTTCTTGTTTTTCCTCCCTTGCCTTCCACACCTATGTATATGATTGTCTTCTCTGGGCAGTCCCATTCTTCTCTAATCATATGCCCAAATAATTTTAACTTCTCTCTCTCCATGGTGTTGATGTGATATCTTGTCATACCAAACTTCTCATTGTCATTACATTATTTGGTGTCCATGCAATTCTCAGTAGTTTTCAGTGAAACTTGGAATTTCTCCCTCTTTAAAAGTCCAACATTCATGGCCATATATAGCTGTTGTCCATACAGTAGCCAGCAAAATCAAGCCAATCCATCTTTTCTTCCTGATCCTTGGTAAATTTTCTAGGGCTGTTCTTGCTAAACCTAATATTTTTTGTATATCCTGTTAACATGCACAATCTTGACTAATGACTGCGCCCAGATACACAAACAAGTTAACTTGCTCTAGCTCTTTCCTATTCACCAGAATCCTTAGGTTTTGTTCTTCTTTTCTTATGACCATTGTCTGTTGTCTTCAAGATATTAATTGATAGTCCATACATTTTTCCTAATGTATGTGATCTGCTAATCAAATCCCGTAGTTCCTCAGATAATAAGGTAATCCTAGACTTCATTACCTGCATGCCTCAAATTATTTATTAATCTTCCAGCTATCTTAAGGCCTCCTCTAAGATCTTTCTGTACTTTCCTCATTGCCACCTCGGCTTGACTGTTGCATAGGTAAGACAATACTACGCATCCTTGCCCTCCACCTCCCGTGACTACAAGCCACTCCGATCTTACTCCTGCCACTTTTGTAGCTGATTTCTGATTAAGACACAGCTTCCACAGCAGTTCAACTAAGAGTAGCGGGAAGTCTTTCTCAAGCATCATTAGCCATGACTTATCATGCCCCACCAAATCAGATGCCTTAGTGAAGTCGACAAAGCAGAGATATAACAGTGGTTCCCATTCTCAGTCTTTTCTCATCATGATGATCCCTTGTGTCCTTTCCGGGTCCAAACCCTGCTTGCTCAGTGATAGTTTTTGGTCTGCTTTTCTTGGAATCCTTTCCAGAATGGTTTTTAACAAAACCTTGCTCACATGTGATACCAAAGACATTATCCTGCAGTTTATACATCCCTGGTGGGCAGCTTTCTTCATCATTGAAATATAATCTTGTTAATTAATCAGGCCACTCCCCATGTTCTGAACAGACTGCATCATGTCTACTTCTACCTCTCCATCCAGCTTGAGATGCTCTATGGCAGGCTTGTCCAACATACGGCCCGTGGGCTGCCATGCAGCCTGCTAAGCCATTTTATCTGGCCTGCAGCAGCGCCAGCACTGCCACAGAACACAGAGCCGTGGTGGCAGAGCATGGAGCCACGGCGGTGGAGGTGGAGCGCAGAGTCACGGTGGTGGCAGAGGCGCAGAGCTGTGGTGGCGGCAGCGCTGGTGGAGCTGCGGTGGCAGCAGCAGTGCCGGCAGAGCCGCGGCGGCGGAGCGCAGAACCACGGCAGTGGGGCAGCGGTGGCGGGGCAGCGGTGAGGTGGGCAGGGCCAGCCCATGGGCCCCAGCCGGCAGTGAGGGGAGGGGAGCTGCTCACCCCTGCAGGTCCTGGCTCATCTGTGAGCTGGGTCCTGCCGCAGCTGCCCCGAGGGCTGTGCAGAGTGGGGCTGCCCCAGCTGCACCTGATTGGACGAGCTGGGGACAGGCTCTGCCCCTTGCCCCCAGCACGTGGCCGGGGGAGCTGCAGCTTGGCCTGCACCCTGCCCACGTGCGTGGTGGACAGAGGCACAAGGTAAGTTCTCGCGCAGAGCTGGGGATGCCTTGGGGCCACACCGGGGCGGACGGAGGCACGGGTTAAGTTCCCATGCGGAGCTGGGGGCACCTCGGGGCTGGGTTGGGGCTGTGTATGTGTGTGCGTGCGTGCGTGCATGCATGTGCATGTGCGTGTGCTTCCCAGCACATCCCAATAGCTGCTTTGGCTCTGTCTACTGCAACACACGTGTGCACATTTTCAAACCCATTTCATTGTCACTTCCTGCAAGTTCATTGGTGTCAAAGGTCACGTGGCATCACTTCCTGATGTGATGTCACTTCCTGTGAGGTCTTAGAATATGGCTGACCGGCCCACTGGGTGATAAAAAGTTTGTGATCCGGCCCCACATTCAAAAAGGTTGGACACCCCTGCTTTATGGCTACATCAGCCAGACCTGGAGCATTTTTAGTCCTAAACCTTTTTACAGAAAGCGTTATTTCTGTTTTAACTGTGGTGGTTCTCTTTCAACTGCCCAGTCTGACCGCCAATTCACAACTACATCTTTACATCCTGCTTTAGACAAGGCCTCAGGGACAGAGCTAAAAAGCTGCATTATTCAGGCTATGGGTAGGTAGAAAGCAAGCCAGAGCAGAGCATGGAGCGAGGGTCGGTGTCAGGTGCTGGTGGCTGCTGTTTAATCCCCCAGACTATTGTTTCTGCAGGGGGATATGGAGGTAGTTGTTGCTGACCTGGTGAAGAGGATTCATGATACTGAGGCAGAAATAAACAAGAAGCCCATGAGACCCAAAGCGCTGCTGGATAACTGCGTCGAGGTCATGAGGATGCTGTACAGCACTTCATGTGAGAAGTGACCAAGAACAAAACCTTGGAAGGGGCAGAGATGGCTCCTAGTCCACTGGGTAACAGGGTAAGGGGGTGATGTGGAGATGGGTAATTCTAGCTGGGAGGTTTGGAGAGCAAGCATTACTTATGTAGTGAAGGTCACCCAAGGGAGCATATCTGAGAGGTATGAAGGGGCTTTTGTACATTAAAGGCTGCCTGTGACATCGTGTTCATTGCTCTGTGAACTGAGCAGAAGAAACACATAGAAACTGGAGCTACTCAGAACTTGAGAACAGTTGGTGATCCAGCCTGAGAGCTTTGAGTTGCCTGTTTTGCATGTCAGTAACAAAAGCCTCCTGTCTGTCATGCTGCAGATAAATAGTATTCTGCTTAATATCACAACAGAAGAATTGCCATCTCCTTTACCTCTCCATGCCCTCCTTGATGTAACAGAATACAAGATGCGTTATGTTACTCAAAGGGCTATGAGCAAACTGCCATGCAGCTTGCAGGTGAATGCACTCCGAATCAGACACAGTTGCCTGATTGAGAACAGGGCCCAGCTGTTTTTTATAAGAACAGGGCTCTGAGCATAGGAGAGGGCAGTTTGCTGCAAGCAGCCAAGGAGAGAGCATCACCTGGCTAGAGCTGCTGCTTATAACATCTTGGAGGTATAGGGTAGGAACTATGGGGCTGTCTGGAGGTTTCTGGTCCTGAGGCATGATGTAAAACTACACACTGCTGGGGTTGGATGGTCTGGTGGGACTGCTGGTGGTGGGGTAGTCTCCAAGAAATGCCACACCTGTGTCTCCCCAGTGAAGGGTGAGTATGGAGTGCCAGAAAGCCTCCACCTTGTGTGTGACCCAACGGAGGGAAAACGCTAAGGGAGCACACCCAGAAAGGCCCAGGCTCAGAGTGAGGCCAGAGACAAGGCCCAGGTCAGGTACAGGGATGTGAGGCAGTGCCTACACTCGCAGCAAGTCCTGAGGTGTATAAAGGAGCCAGTATTGAAACTCGAGAGGCAAGGGGCCCTAAGCCTAAGAGGGAGATAAGTGTGGAGCGAGGATTAAGGGGATTGAGGATCACTGTCAGATGGGATGATGCCCCAGTGTATGGGCGTGAGGGAACCAAGAGAGTCCCAAGCCAGGCAGAGAGTCTGTGGAAAAATTACCACAATTTCTTCAGTGTCACGTGTCTTACGGCCTGGGAGTAAGAGTACTAATGTGAGGCACTGGAGTGGGGGTCCCACAGTGAGGGGATGGGCTTATGCTGGGTATTAGGCCAAACAAGCTAAGGCTGCTTGTTAAGCTATGGATGCCATCTGGAAGAGGTGGGACATGGTACAAGGGGACCTTTGGCCTGGCAAACCCTGTGCCTGGCCTTCCTGGGACTGGTGTGTGTGGTGGTTGGGCGAGAGCAGCGCAAGGCTGGCAGGTGTGAGTGCCAAAGAGCCCAGGGCTCACCAGGAGGCAGGGCAGGGAGTGGAGGGCCGAGTGGGAGGGGACCGTGATCATGGCAGGAGTGCTGGGTCCCGAGTGGGTGGGCCAGGTGCTTTTGAGCGTGTTACCTGAAGCTGCAAGAGGGGGTGGGTGTGCTGCCTTTGGTAGCTCAGCTGGTAGAGCGGAGGACTATTGGGCAAGACATCCTTAGGTGGCTGGTTTGAGTCTGGCTTGAAGGAACCAAGCCAGTTCTCTCTCTCTGGGAGCACACGTGGGTTAGGTGGCAGGGGTGTGGTTGGCCCATGGGTGGCCAGGAAGCAAAGAAGGGCCAGGGTGGGGTAGCAGGCAGCAGCCAAAGGAAGGCCAGAGGGCTGCTGAAGCCTGGGACTGATCCAGGGCCCTTTAGATCTTCAGTCTAACACTCTCCCAGCTGAGCTACTTTGGCTGGCAGGGGCAAGCAGATGGCTCTGCCTGGGACCTTGCTCGTCAGGCCCTGAGACCAAGGTGGCTCTGGGCTGGAGGTGCCTGGGGCTCTTGACTGGCTCCCGGACCCGCGGTTGCTTGGCCAGCGCCTGTGCTTGACAAAGGAGGCCCAAGAAGTGGCACGGCCTGGGGAGCCTGTGGCTGCCAGGCTCCAGGCCAGCCTGCTGGGCAGGGGCTGGGGTTGAAGGCCAGGAGCTGTGGCCTCCTTTGTGAGGTCACTGGCTGGCCTTGTGTAGCCAGGGCTAGGGGCAGTGCAGCCGTGCCAGGCAGGCAAGACCAAGCCTAGACAGCTAAGCCGAGCCAAAGCCTGCCCAGGTCGGCTGTGGGCGAGGCCTGTTTGGGGTGGGCAGTGAGCGTGTTTCCTGTGCCCTCGGTCCGTGGGATGTGGCAGCTGGTGCGTCGCCTTTTTCAGACAAGTGTTTCGCGAGCCAGGCCGGTCTCAGGCAGGCTGTGGAAGGCCAGGTGCACTTTCAGGCACCAGGTCAACCCCATGCATTGCAATGGGGACTTGCAGGAACCGTGGCAACACCATGCATTCCAATGGGGGCTTCCAGGCACTATGTCCACCCCATTCAAGCCTATGGGAACCCTAGCCTTACTGCTCCCTCCCCCTTACGGCCAGACTACAGATTGCATCCGATCACGGAAGCTGAGCAGGCCCGGGCCCGGTTAGTGTCTGCATGGGAGGCCACCTGGGAATCCCGGGTGCTGTAGGCCTCCTGCCCTTTTGCACCAGAGCAGGACGGAGCTGGCCCTGCCCTTGCCTGGGCCCCGGACTGGCCGGCTGCCCTGCAAGCCTTGGGAGCACCACCGCATGGAGTTGATGCAGCCGCCTCCAAGTCCACCTGCAAGCCTCTGTTTCCTTCTGCCACTAGAGCTGATGTA